CCAAAATTATTGCTATAAAGATTATTTATTGAAGAGAATTTATTTAAATTAATAAATTATATTAAGATTTATTTAAATTGAAATATATCTTTGGATATTAAGAACTAGAATAGTAATTCTGGTTAAATTTATTTTTCCTTCTTTTTTAATATCTATTCTTTATATAAAGAATTGTGTGATTTAATTTTATTATTTTTATATTTTATAATTTGATTGCATCAATTTAATTTAGGCAACTTCTTAATAAATAATAATAATTCTTGAAATTTTTTTTTTTTTTAAAATAAACATTGAACTTTTATAATAAGTTGTAATTTATTTGTTTTTGTAGTTTACTTGCAATATATTTATTTTGATTTAATGATTTAAAAATGTAGAGTTAAGGTAGTTTAGATGCATAATGGACCTTTTATGTTTAAGTACATTGGACTTTTCCTCTTTTGTATAATGTAGGATGATTTAAGAAGTACAGCATCTGTTTATCATATTACATGGATGCATTTTTGATTCAATGAATAGACTCTTTCTCTTTTTCCTGTTTAGCTTTGATCTATTATACTTGCAAATGATAACCAACAATTATCTTGGAGATTAAAGAATTTACAGGGTCAATTTTTGAATAAATCTGTTAAGAGAATATTCATAATTACTTCTGATAATTAATTTATTGGACTTCGAACTCAAATTTGAGTTTTTAATAAACATTTGGCTTTATTTCCATCTCCTTTTAGTTGATACATGCCACTTGCATGTTTCGGGCAAAAGCCTCTCAACAGTCAACTAAATGGTACAATATTTAAAATATTACACTAAATATCTAATGAAACTGAATTAAAACAAGGTATAGTTTTTACCATATCCATATTCAATCCGTTATTCATACAAGGTCTTTACCTAATCGACACATACAACTTATCTCACAATAAGTGAAGTAATTCCCTTTACATTAAAATCTGTTACATATAATCTTTTGCTTATTTCAGAATATCCAACTATTACAATAACTAGGAAGTATAGACTTAATTATATGTACATTTCTGAAATGAGCGATTTTTTACATTGTTTTTTGACTGTATCTGCATCACTTACTGTGTTGCAGTTTTATACTAATTTGCATATTACAGAGATATTATGAATAGTAACAACAATATAACTTTTACAGACAATTACAATCGACATGAATATATATTGCATGTTTTATAATATTTTCAATCAGTTTTCATTTATTTTTACACTTAAATTTTCATTGATACAGTTTTTGGCTGTTAAAATTGAAACACTTTCCTTAAATTTTCTATTATACATATTCTTTTCTTTGTATAAAATTTCAACATTATTTTTATCTATATTACAGCCGTTTAATAAACAATGGTCATGAAAAACGGAGTTTAGTCTATGATATCTGAGATCTTCAATGTGTTCTTTTAATCGTATACTTAATTTGCATTTAGTTTCTCCTATATAGAAGTTCACTGTATTACAGGTACATGGTATCTTATACACTATGTTCTTTGTTTCTTGTTCTTTATTGTCTGCTTTTTTATTAGGTTTTACAAGTTATAGGAATGCTTGAAGACAATAATAATTAATTTATTCTTAGTCTTCAAGTATTCCTAAGAAAAATAGAACAAGAAAAATTCAAGTTTAATAGACATTAGAAAATTTTTTTACATAAAATTGTAAAAATCAAATGTACTGTACATTATCTGCAATTTCATTATCATGAGTGATTAAACAAAAAGGTTACTTTCAAGGAGTAAACATGCAATTCATGTGCTATTCATGTTTGTTACTGTCTTAATACATGTTAATAGAAACATTTAAATCTTCAGAAGTTATTTACTATAGTTCCAAAAGATAACATTCAAATCCTCTTTTATGTTAAAGTATTCTTCGGTTTTTATTTGATTATCTTGGATTACAATAAAGATAAAGACTTTCTTAATACAGTGGGTGATCGGTTAACGAACAAATCAGATAATGAACACTTTCACGAAAGATTTTTATGTTTGGACAACAAGCCTGTGATCGGATAATGAACACTCACAGAACAAATATGAGAAGAAGCAATGTAAAATAATGGATACTGATTGGTCTTCCCTTGTCTTCAGACAACTCAAAATTTTTTGGAGCATGGAAGACGTTAAGTTTTGCATCAGTTTTTATTTTCAAAAGGTGAGAGTATAATAGCAAAGGTAGAGAGTGGGCAGATATCTGTTGTTGCTGGGCAGTATGGCTTAAACAGGTCTACAGTAGGTTGCAGTTTAATCTTATCTAAGAAAGATACTGTATTATCAAGAAGATTCAAGCAGCTTAAGGAGTAACAAAAATCACATCTGAGAAATAAAGAACATTGAAGAGCTCATAATGGAAACTGATCTGACAACAGAAAAATGCCAAGAACTCTTGAATGAAGAACACCAAGAAACTCGGTGAGATATCTTCTGAAAAAGAGGATTAATGCCAATATCTGTTATTAAATCACCAAACGATCGCCTAAGTATCGGGCTATAATATGGCTAATTAAATGATTGGTATAAAGTAATTTGACATTAGAGGTAGACATTAGGATTAATTTGTGGATATCTGCTATTAAGCATCTTTTGAAGAAGTGGGAGGATGTCAGAATGACAGTCTTAGAATGGCATCCAAACCAGGTTGAGGTTAATATGCTTACGGATCTCTACAATTACAATGCTATTAATTACTTCTGAAAAATCTTGAAGAAGAGAGAAAAGCAATCGACATTAGACAGATTCTTTAACCCCTCACAAATGGAAAAAACATGACTAATAAAAATGCAAGACTGTGTATATATGTATATTTATTATTACATATAAATAAATGTAGTAATAAAGTATATATATATGTATATATTTATTTATTTATTTTTTTTTTTTGGGATCTCCAGAATGAATTAATCAAATTCCCATAAAAGCCTATGATAAATCGATAATCGGTTAACAAACAATGTCTTGGAATGGATTATGTTCATTAACTGATCACCCACTGTATTCTCAACATTTTGTAAACTTTAAAGGATTTGTTGAAAATATCTTTCTACAGTAATGTTAGAACACATTTGTTTAGAACATTGTAAATGTTACTTTGTTACAAGACAGCATTTTCAATCATTTTAAATTTATGTGAAAAAATAAAAAAATTTTCAAATCATGAATACATGTATTTATTTAAGTAAGCTTTTAAACTGACTTTGTAGATAAACATTAACATTAAGGCTTAAGCATGTTTGATAGACTAAGAAAAGCAGAATTCCCCTAGAATAAGAAATCAGGAGTCTTTCAAATTCTGCTTTTCTGCTCCTGATGTTTGCATCAGAACTGCTTTTTCACCTGCCTGATTGACTAGTGTCACTTGGCATAGCAAAGAAGACAGGAGTTTTGTCAACATTGCCTATTGCCCTTAAGTCCTAGCTGTGTGTCTTTCTTAAGCTGAGGACTTGTTTCTGAAGTGTTTACAAGCAGTTTCTCTTTGTAGGTGTCAGGTAGCTGCTGTGTCATTGAATTTTGACACTGAGTCACAAACTCATGTCATGCCAAAAAAAGTCTTGCCCAGCTGTAACTTCCCTTAAATTCACTTTCAGGAGTTTTCATATTTTGAGCAATTCTTTTGGCTTTGAACTGAATCATTTCAGTAGATACAGAAAATTCCTTTGCCAAATTTCATGGACATATCATATCTCAACAGATTTGCTTTCGGGTCAGGATATTTTGTAGTCTTTCTGCAAAATGATTGCTGATTTTGTGATAAAACATCACAAAATCAGCAATCATTTTGCAGTTTTCTCAAGAGCGTGCTTTGCTTGAATCATCACCATGCATTTTTTTTATCTACAACAAACTTCCTTCCTGCTGCTCGATTTCCATTTTCTTGCGCATAATGCACCACTTGCAATTTAAACTTTGCTTTGTAACTCACTCTCACTCGACCCATGTTTAACAGTTACTGTGCAAGCACTCAACAATGAGCATTAATCATCACTTTATTCCTGTTTGAAATTTGCAGTGTTGTTATATTTCTGTATACAGTACCTATGTCTCTATTCTTGTCCCTCAACAGAATTCTAAGATTTTTATTGTTTTCCAAATATATTGTTTCATAAACAGGGTGTGGCTTTTATACGCATGTGGTCTACACATGTATAAATACAGTATTATTAAGTGCAATTAACAAAAAATTTTTAATAGTTGCTATGTCAGCACAGTGGGACCCTGTTCATCTGGATTATAAAATATAATATCTGTCTCAGAAAGATAGACATACAGAAAACCTATAGAAGCAAAAAAAGCAAACTCTTAAGTGCATTCTTGCTGAGTGTAATGCTACAGTTTGCAAGAATAGACTTATTTTCTCTGAATTCACATATGATGATCATTGTTATGCATTTTATGGGTGTGTTCTTTGAGTTTACTTGTTGAATCTTTTTTTAAGATTTTCAGTTATAAAAAATTGCTACCTCCCTGTTGAATAAAAATTCTGTACTTCTCACTACAGTCAATTATTAAGTTTATCGTTTGTAACCTTACGAGTTATTATTCACTTGACAACCCATCTGTTGTTTTGCTGAGTTTTCATTACCTTCAATCTTTTGTGAAGTAAAGTATATACCATGAAAATGATGTCTAAAATTGTTATGATGGAGAAGAAATTAGAAATATAAAATGTGTAAACTGTATTATTTGTTATTAGTGAATTTTTTTTGCTTATCCAGATTGGGCCTGGTCCCATTTGAGCTGGATAAACAGGTTTTGCTATATTTATTTTTATGTCATGACTTTTTGTTTATTAAAAGAAAAAAAAATTCAATGAAAAATCATACTACATATTTACATATAATGTGATGACTCATGATCTTTATTTTGGCAATATTTTGATATAAATATTCTTCATTTAAATATGTAATGCATTTTATTTAATTTATAATTTTTATATCTGTTCATAAAGTGTGTTTTTTTGATTCAATAATTATTTTATCAAAGGATCCTGCTGGGATTTTTGAACTAATCGAAGTTGTTGGAAATGGTACTTATGGACAAGTATACAAGGTTTGTTATTTATTTACTAGATTAACATTATAATAATATGACTAAAAGTAATTTTGAATTACCATATTTGCTGGCATATAAGATGCACCTCATTTTCCGAAGGAATTTTTAAAAAAAGTTTAATACCTTTCTAATCTTTATTTTAATTTTAAATACCTTTAAAATTAAAATAAAGTACTGTAATTTTTGTACTTACTATACATTTTTTAAATAAAACATATACCGTGTATATTTTCTGGCAAATATAGTATTTAAAGTTATAATTGTTACTTTTTATTTTACTTTCCTGGATGTTATGTATATATAACACAGAAGAGTATTGGAATTGTCAGATTTGAACCTCTGTTTTTTTTTGCAAATCTCCATGTTTTGAGATTCCCAAACCCAAAACAGTAAGAAAAACAAGAAAAAATTCTGTGGACGTGTGTGTGTGTGTTGATGTCTATTTTGTTTAATCTCTGTATGGGATAAAGATTAAGAAACAAAATTTGGCAAGGTAACTTGTATATAAGGAGTATTGATGCTGTTAAATTTTTGTGGTTATAGTTTAGGGAGTGAAAGATAGAGGGATGGTCTCATCTTGTATCTTGAGTGGGATCAGAGTTAATAAGAATTTTAATTATTGTTGACATTCTTTATCAGTCTACTGTACTACTAAATCTATCCTACTAAATGGACCAAAAATGTTTGTGTTTATTAAATCATATGCTGGAGTAAGTACCAAGGTTTTATTTTGAGATAAAAGTTATTTTTTTTTAATAAAATCTCATAACAGCCAGGAAAGTTATGCAACTCATCATTGGATTTTTTTATTATTGTTTGTATAAAATTTATATGATAAATATATTTAATTATGTTAGGTTATCTGAATTGTGTATAATTTTGATTAGAATTTTGGTAATATATGAACTTGGAGTGAATTTGTTACTACAGATAAATATGCTGTCATCAAGTGTAATGATTTAATAACTAAAACATGAATGCTATTTTATATTTAATTGATTTGTGTGAATGTGCTTGCAGATGCAAATGTCAAATTATGTCTAAAAGAAAGTGTGTCAAGTATGTTGGCTATGATAAGATTATGCATGTATGAGTATCAATGTGATCAACAATGAGATCATGCAATTACATGATCATGTAACTGCATGATCTCATTCTTTTTTCATTTTCTCTCTTAATTGAAATAATTAATGGAAATTTTACTCTACTACTAGTTAATATTTATCTTAATTCTGATGAATTCATTGTTTACAATAATTTTTTTACTAGTTATTTAATCTTTAGTTATTAATTATTAATCTTCCTAGTTGAACTTTCTAACTCTACTTTTCTAATTTAGTGTTTTTTTTTTGTTTTTTTTTTTTATTTTATAAAATACATTTATTTATTTTAAAATAAATTAATAAATATTTGAATATTTATGATCTTTGTAGGGATGTCATACAAAAACTGGCCAGTTAGCAGCTATTAAAATAATGGATGTTACAGAGGTAATTTTAAATTAATAATTGTATAAATTGTTATAGGATTAGTGTTGTTATTAAAAATAATTTGAAAGGTAACTTCTTATTTTTTATTTTGAAAATACTAAGATTTCTTTGGGGGGCTGAAAATTATGTTTACTGTTTTTGAACCACTTTTGATCTTCTCCCTTCTGTTGTGTAAAGGATGTACTTTTGACAAACTCACTCTCCTTTAATTACTTATGTCAGAAGAATATTTGTTTTTTTCCATATTTTTATATATGTTCTATAATGGACTTCACAATTATATTTTCTATAATTGTGAAGTCCTATAAAAATTTGTAAACATCAATATAATAGACAGTCACAATTGTAATGCAGATGATTGAAACATGTTCTTAAATTCACCTTATTCAAACTGGTATAGTGCTACTGCAAAAGTGTGTGCAATTGATCTATTATGCTGATATTGTGGGATGTGATCAAAAAACATAACACTAATAATAACAATAAAAAAGAAAACAGAGGTAGAAATATTTACAGATATAACTATACAATTATACATTAAATATTAATATAAAAAATTTTGCATAATTTTTTAAACAGAGTTGTATTAATATTAATCTTGGTTTATTTCTGGATTAAATGCATTCCAATATTTTATAGATCTATCAATTAGATCAACTGTCACCCAGTTCCTCAGAATTATTCTATTTTCAGGATATCCAGTGCAATGTTTCAGTTTTTTACTGTGTGTAAGGTTTAAATGAATAATCATTTTTGTCTAATTTGTGTCAAAATTTTGTAAAAATGTGTCCAAAAAACCTTTTGTTATTAAGTTTTTATTTCATCAAAAAATTTAACACAAGTACTGTACTTTCAACAGTGCATTACCATCTCCTTCAGGCAAATGAAGAGAAAAAAATTAAACTATATAACATGCTATTTCCCATCTTTTTCATTTTGTGAAGAAACTTATATCAGGATTCCTTGTCTAAACTCTAGCTCAATGAATTTCCTATTGTTGCATTTTGCTATTGTCCTTTTACTAATTTTCAGTCTTGCATTGATTATGGATTATCTGTTTTGTCTATGGTAGTGCCTTTCCTTTTGGATAAGATTGCTAGAGCTCTTGATAAAATTTATCTATCTTTTAATAAATTATGTAACTTACCATATACTCAAAATCCTAGCACTGCTAGGATAAGTTAGGTTTTCCTTTGTTTTTTTGAGTCTATCAAATATTTTTATCACTTACTTTATTTTAAATTTTTTAACAGCTTTATTTATTCAATTGGCTCTTTTTATGAATACTGTCAAAAATCTACATCTTTCATCTTGTGTGTTCACTCCTTTTTTTGTCTGAGTGTATAAAAGTCATTTATCTAATATAATTCTTGAGATTTAAATAATTTTGATTTTAATTTATTATTTTTTAATTTTACTAGTTTTAAATTAAAATGTAATACTTAAATATAATGTACGTATATTTAAGTATTACATTATAAATATAAATGCACATATATTTATATTTTCTTATTTACGTTCTATTTTGTTGTTCTATTTTTATGTTAACTGAGGAAGATCGTTAAAAAACAGTTGAAAACGTTTTTATTTTATTAATATTTATTTGCTGGATTTTTAAAGGTGTGTTTTATTCTTATTAAAATGTAAAAATGCATTGTATAATTTTTGATTTTATGCAATGTATTGTCTTTGTTTTTTATGTATATTTGTTAATTGTTGATGGAAGAATATCAACTGTCCTTTGGGACTTTTCCTTTTATTTGTAAAAGTAAATAAATAAATAAATGTTCTGCAAACATTTTCTAAGTAATAGTTTATTCACATATTAGTAAGTAAGCTTATAAGAACAATTTCTTTGCCAGTTATACCACTAAAAAAGTCCACACAAACAATGCTTGATCTCTCCTGCTCCATTGTGTAAAATAATGTACTTTTCATGACTCCCACTGCTTAAACTATATACATAATTAATGGATGGCCCTGAGGTAGAATTGTTATAAAATTCTCTAAATAAATAAACAAGGTATATGTCAATAAATATTCTTTGATACATGACATAGAAAGTATGTATTTAGAAACATCAAAAATTGACAGTTTAGTTACATTTTCATGTGTATAACAGTATATCTTGTAATTATTAATTACTTTTTTTAGTGTTAAAAGTTAATACTTTATTGAGTTTTTTGTATTGTCTTGAGCCACACATTCAAACAGTAATATCTAGTAATCAGATTGATATGAATTACATATTGTATTACATACTAAAATTATTTCAACTTAAAATTTGTACAGTTTGTAATACAAGTAATACTGTAATGTAGATCATCAAATTCATTTAATTAAAAAAAATTTTGTTTAAAAATAATTTTTAATTCTAGAAGATTTGAGAGAATTTTAATAATAACTATTAAAATATTTAAAAAAGAAAAGGGGTGAAAAAATATATAAATATATTTCTTTTTAACAAAATGTTTCCATAACAACAAAAATTTTAAGTGATAGATTTTTCCTTGCTTCATTTGCTGGACTTGGAAAATTTTATCCTCCCTGTTACATTTGTTTTTTATATCTTTAGTAATTATTTTTAGATATTGATAAGTGATTTGTGAATTTTAAAACATTTCAAAATTATAAGAATCTTATAATTAAAGTGCATATGGTAATTATGGATGCATTCTAAATCAGGATAATTTAAAATTTGAATCATTTTGTTAGCAAATAAATATATGAAAATGCATTGAGAAGAACAATATAATAACTTTGGTTCATGTGAAATGGATGCAGTTTCATGTTATGATACTAAAAGTTGTGGATCACCTTGGGCTGTTATGAAAAAAGGAAGAGAAAATGTCTATCTTTAATTGTTAAGTTCTGTAATTATAAATTATAACATAAAAAATATATAAGTAATAAATGCTAGTTAGCATTTTCAATAAGATTAATCTTATCTTTAACATGCTGACTACCAACTACAAGTTAACTCGTAGGTGATGGGTTTTTTAGGACACTGCCTATGAGTTATTGTGTGAAACAGTGTCAGATACAAACGTAATCATAGAAAATAAATGTTAATAATGGATAGTGGACGTCCGGATTAAGAATTAAAAATATTTGCAGCCTCACAGAACAGAACATTTATTTTGAGAAAAATGGAAAAATTCACACAATAAAATATATGGTAAAATGTACAAAATCAAAATTGCATTGGAAGAATGATTTTAGCAATAATAGATTGGCAATCAAAATGCTAAGCAACCAAACCAAATAAATTGAAAATTCAAACATGGCTGTTTCAGAAAATTTTGCATAGCATGGGACTAACTCAAAAATTAAAAATATTTGAATAAATAATAAGTATTATACCCTTTATTAATGTGTGCCTGATGAGTAGTTGGATGGTCTAATAAACCATATTTGCTATCATAAATGTTTCAGCATTCAAACAAATTTAAATTGTTTTTGTGTCAGTAGAGCTTAAGCCTGCTGTTTTCCATGGATCTGCCACTGACAGTATTCTTAATATTTTAAATAACAGAAATGCTAAAGATAAAATGTAAAAATAAATAAAAATTTTAAATGTTAAAATTATTCATCTTGGAATTCATTTAGGGCACTAGTTCCAAATTATTTTTGTTTGCAAGCCACTTTGAACATAAATTTTGTACTCTCAATCCTCTTAGGTGGATTTATATGATTTTTAAAAATTTATATTTAATATTAAGTAAGTAAGAATAATTTAAATGATTTTCTTTGAGAAATTTGTACTGGCATTTATTATGATTTTGAGAATTCACATCCAATAATACAAACAAATACCAATTTGTTTCAATAAATTTTTTCTTTAAGAATTAAACCAATATTGTAAAAAAGAATTTATTTCACAAATTTTGCTATACACAAATGAAAAGATTGCTCATTAAGTTGTTAAAGATGAATTGATTATTCATTGTTAATGAAATAGTTCTCCCTAATTCCCTAAAATATATCCTTAAACTTGTTAATTGAGCTAATCTTAAAAACTAGCAAAAATTTCATTTGATTAGTACTTTTGATCCTCTGTCTTCAGATTTGAGATTTGGTAGTGACTAGTACTTTTGATCCCAATAAGATCAAAAGTACTAGTCAAATAAGTTTTTGAAAATTTACAAGTTTTTATCACTTGGAATTATTTTTAACATAATATAAAATTAAACAAACTTTAAGTTTAATTATGCTTCTGGACTTGCTTCTCTGAACACAGCAATATTACAAAATTTTTAGCACAAATTCTCTGGGATCCATAAATTACCAAATGGGAATCACTAATATAAAGCAGTTTAAAATTGTGGGAAGATTAGATTAGGTCTATTGCATGGATTCAATATTGAAATGCTAGCAGGAATCTGTTGAAATTGACAGTTTTTTATTCAATTAAAATATGATCAATAAGCTCATTTAAAATGTAGCATACTATACAAAACTCAACAGTATAGCAAGTGTTTTCCAAGTCCCACTGTAGGAGATTTGCATCTACCTGTTCTCCAGTACCACAAGGCTTCTCCCACTGCCCTGTTTCTCTATGGCTTCTTTCAGTTTTTCATTCAAATCCCATGGTGTCAGTTTTGTATTCTTAATTAAGGTAAGCAAACTTCAACTGGTGGTGCTTCACGTTAATGGTGACGGCACTGGCTGTCTGTTTCATGGCAATCACTTTGGCTCTTATAAAAGTCTTAACCTACCAACAGTCAGATGTTCAAGTTTACTCTTCTTTTTTGTTGGTAGATTTGTCAAATTAAAGCTGGTCGGCCTTAAGAGTGCTAAATTGTGACCCTGGGCCTCAGATACAAAATTGAAAGAAGCCATCAAGAGACAGGATTAGTGAGAGTAGCCTCGTGGTAGCAGAGAACAGTTAGACACAAATCACCTGCAGACAGACCTGGAAAACGCTTGCCATACTGATAATTTTTGTTTTTATAATTTTAAATGCACTCATTGATTGTTTTTTAATTTAATAAAACTGT